GCGTGGATGCCAAAGAGGCCTTCCGAGTGATTTACAAGGTGCCCTCAAGCTATTCAAAATTCCTTGGACAGCATCTGTTGGCTACAGCAGAAGCGGCCGTCATCAGGCTACGTCGACCGGTCCTGTGCACCCAAAAGACCTTCGTCGCGGCGCCGCAGTTACCATGACCAAAAGCCGCTAATCCAACATTCAACAGCTTATCATCTAGCCCGACTACCAGTTCCCCCTAATGCTAGTCAGATTTTTGACCCCGATTCTTTCCCCCCACCCCCTTTAACAACCGCACTATTTTTTCTACCGATCCGCATAGTTTATCTACTTAATTACCATAAAAATATAAAGGCCTGACGAGAATTTATCGAAAACCGACGAATGTTCGCCAATTTATATTCTGAAATTATCAACTTGTTAGCTTATAAAATGTTTGCAACATGTACTGTGTGCGTATCTCCTTCAGCTTTCCCCAACGTCGTCGATATTGCATTTTTCTTCTTAATGCATTTGTTGTAGTTTCTAACAATATTTTGCATTTATCTAAAATACCCTTGTCCCGATACCCTCTATAAACCTTTGGAGGGGAATATTAGTAATTTATCATCCAATTCTTCTATTTATTGTTTACCGTTACATCTTTTAAAATCTTAGAATAACAGGACAAATTACGTGGAATACAACCTTACTAGTGACAATATGGATAACACAACACACTTCCTTCTTCCCTTCAATTCCCATCTGATCTTTGTTGACGACGGATACCGACGCGATGAAGTGACTGTAGCCAAAACTGGCTTCCGAGCAAAGTTTGAAAAAATGATCTCAGCCCCCGCGCAAAGTAAGCTCTTGTTTGTTCAATTGACTATCGTAATCCTCACCACACCTGATTGAAACTAGGCTATACTGAGTCAGTGAACCTAGTGCTTGCTTGCATCTAGTCACATGCAGAAAACTCTTGTCCGTTATTTTAATTTCCTTGGATTTTCTCAGTACACTTTTTTTTTACTTCTGCCCCTCCTTTAAACAGAAAATGTTCTCAATGTGCCTCTGGTTGACCTAGTCATTGGTGGTGACCTTATGACTCTCCATGAAGCTGCTAATGCCGTTGAGAACGACATCTGTGTTCTCGTGTTGCAAGGCAGCGGCTTCGCAGCTGACATAATTGCGCACGCCTATGAACTCAAAAAACAACTAAGGAATCCGTAAGTGTCAGAATTTAAGGAAAACTGTCGACAAAATGATTAAGAAACTGCATTATATAGTTTCTTAGGCAGGACTCTCTGTAAAGGTCCTTTCTGCCTTTGGCTTTTAACAATAACCTACTTTTACATTTTCAGTAACCCAACCTTCCATTTTTTTGTTAAATTCCGCCAATATAAGGTCGAATTGCCATTTTTCGTTGAATTCCGCCGATATATGGTCGAATTTTCCTCAAAAGGCATCCGCATCCTAGGCAGCAGGAGTTTCTGTTGAAGGATTTTATTCTATTTAGTACATTGAAGGAAACATTTTAAAATTTTTTGACCACTTTCACCACAATTAAATATTTAGCGATGGTACCCATGCAAGCATTCTGGACGCCAAGTTAGGCAAACAAACGTTTTCGCTCTATTGATCATCAGGCAAATACAATAATATAAGGGAGTTTGGAGTTAAAAAAAAGTTAAAGCTAGCAATCAATAGTAATTGGGGGGGGAAAGGGAGGAGTGGTGTCAAGGGATCAAAGGGGTCAGAGAGAGAAAAGGGGAGGGGAGGGGAAGGGGTCCTGTCCCGTCGTCCTTGGCTTGCGTTTTGTTGGGAGGCTTGAGGACACAAGGTGTTGTCGTCTCGTAAAGGCGTGGGTGGCCTGGGGATGCCTGCCTGATGCTGAATTAATTGAAAACGTTCGTACGTCTAGCTTGACTTCCTGAATTAAATATTCATTTACATTGACTATCTAAGATTTAAATGTTTGACCACTAAACATGTTAGACAGTTGGGCGGTAAGAATAGATATTTTGGAGGCCCTACAAGACCGTTTTGCCGTTTCTTATACCAGCATGCCTCTGTACAGCCGATTAAATCACTCGCCCTTCCCTTTATCTCCTTAGGAAACTCGACAAATTCCCCGATCAACAGAGGCAAAGTATCGAGCGAGCCGCCTTGACTATCGTGAAGACGGACGGCGCAAAGGGTGTCGTCCCGCTTGTGGAGAAAATACTCTCGAAGCCTGCTTTGCTTGGCATTTACAAGTTAGAAGAGGATAAATCGCTGAGCTCTGAGTTAATGAAGTTGATCATGTTTCACGCTACGGATAACCTCGGCAAGCTTTACCTCTCGCTATCCTGGCGCAAGATTGATCTGGCCGAGGAACTGGTCCTATGGAACCATACTGACATCAAAGCCAGTACTTACTCACTACTTAATTATTACTTAATTAATTATCTTTTATGGAACCTTGCGACATTTGTTTTCTTAGAATATCTTTAGGGTAAGGCATTCTTGTATTCAACTAGGCGATTTCTTCAAGCACACCGATCCGGTTAGGTGGGGGTGATAGGGGTCTTGAATAGACCGCCATACATTCAAGTGCATGGTGGGTTTCAGGCTCTTCCATGGACCTTGTCTGACTTGCTCCAGGATAATTTCTTTTGTATCCCCGCCGCGTGGATGTGTCCCGAGTAACCTGTTGACACACATATTCGATGACAAAGAAGTCTGGCAATGTCAGAAGGTTTTCGAGCAGCGCCTATAGGAATAATCGTACACTCCCTGTAATACCAGGTTCTAATTACTTCTTCGTACAGGCCTCCTGTCGCGCTAGTAAGGCTTTCCTGATAACGGAACTGAACTCAACTTCTGGGAAATTAATGCTGTGGAAGTGCTAGCGGTATTTCATTTTATCAGGACCGAGTGCCAGACTGTCGTAAACTTTGCTTGTTTTCAGCGCATGCCCGGGTAGTGATACTGGGTCTTCCTCTTCATCTGTTGGTAGCCATCATTCGACGAGCGAGCGACTCGCCTTGAAATTTAAATCAGGATACCACCTTTGGTGATTCTGTCAATGTGAGAAAGAAAAGAAGGGGTGTCAGTTTTAGATAGAGGGATTTATGATGGATTGGTGGAAGAAAGTCCTGAGGTAGATTGGACTTTCTGAGGTGCTGTCATCTCAATCGATTTTTAGCGGTACGCAGCATTTGGCAGCATAAGGTGCTCAGTCTATTCTGGTCCCCAAACTGGCTCCGAGCTCGAACCTGTGGCCCGACGAAGTTTTGCTGAGCGCAGCGACTATACAGAGGCAACAGCTTTGACTATCGAAAGAATGGTACAACATGACCTAGTCTTGCCAGCGATCTATGTCGGCTAAGGGGGCAGTAAATCTGTTGCTAGGCTAATGTTCTTCTTCGTCTTTATCTTAAAATATCAACAATGACACTTCGGTTTCCATCATTCACAGATCACCGCTAAGGAAATAAGAACAGGTATGCAGCCAGTAGGAAGCAAGAACTGAGCAACTGAAACCCGCGAATTGGACACATACACATAAGTAAATAGCAGTGGAATGTAATTACAATGGAGTCTCAGGGGCGAGCAGTTTCTTCTACGAGCATTTCAGGTGAAGAGTGAGCCACTCACAGAAAATTTGTTTCAATTGACGAATTTCC